TGTTTGTGTGTTGGCACTCTTTCGTCGCGGACAATCACTTTGTTTAAATCCATCTGCTCCAAGAGACCGTTGGACGTAACACGAGGCCGCATTTCTGAGTTGTTACTGCTGTTGATTCGAGGCCGCCAAAAGACATCGTCGCCGTCTAAGAAGAGTTGGATATCAACGCAGGCCGCAAGGAAAGTGGAGCCACAAGTTGCGTATGGCTCTCGTACTATGTGCGCAGAGATCAGGGCTAGTTTCCTGTACTGTATGTACATTCTGCGTGGATTGGAGGCCGCAGCATTAGTATTGCGAACACTGTACCACTTCCGGTTAAGTCTGTTGGCACGTACAAGATACTCCTGCGTTGATCATTGGCGGCCGCTCAGTGATGTTTCAGAAAGCCTCTTGGTATTGTTGAAACGCTTCATTGATAGAAAGACTATTGGAGGCCGCAATCGCGATATTCTTTGACCGATATATCCGCATACAGAAATGATCATAGAGGCTGAAAAGCATGCATATCATTGGAGGCCGCAAGTGGGAATCTTCTATACGAGGCTGTACTGGTGGCTTAGCAAGCTAGCCTAGCTAGAATTATGGGCATGGGTTAGCGATTGGACCAGAAGCAAGGCCGCAGAACTGTGTATAAGTCACGTTTTCAGCCACTTGGTATGCCCAGTCCAAGCATCAATGAAAGCACCGCAGAGGCTCGTAATGACTGTAACTCATCATGAAGTTTTCTTCCCACTTGGTTTTTAGTACTCCAGCAATCCAAGCCATTCGTAATTCGTCCGATGGCAAGTTCTTGCGGGCTTCGATCGCCTTCGCAGCGTTCAGGGGACAAAGTTATCGCACGTTCTGCAAGATCCAACAAGAGAAGCAAGAAATTGCATGCTACAATACCAGGAACAGGGGTTACAACCGCGAATGGCCATCTCAAGATTGTGAAAATCATCTGTCCGAAGACTTATTTCAAAGCTTGTTGTTTAGACTCTCGAGCATGTCACATGATGTAAGTCAAACCCTTTTTCTCTCATGTGTGTGCTAATGTTAGACAGAAATCCTTCTCAACATGGCGTGATATCTTGCTCGGCGATGCTATTCCTGGTATACTTCTGGACTTTGTCAAAGAATGGCTGCTGTACCCGCCGCTCAGTAGTAGATTCATGGGGTTTATAGATGATTCGGTGCTTTGCCGACTAGTCTTGCTCGACCTTGTTCAGTCTGTGCTAGACAGACCAGAATGGACGAGATTAATTTCCAAGGCGTTAGCCGTCCTAATGGTACACGCACCCCCTTTACGAGCATGGCATCTCCAAGCTCTAGCATCCAATAGCTCAGCCTGGCGGAAGGCGAAGGCCAAACAACTTTCCAAACAACTGCAAGACTCAAGCAATGGAAGACACCACGGTTCAAGGTCATTGGCTCTCGTGGCTCGACAAATTCAGGGGGCAACCGATCGAACACGGACGCCATCCCAGACAGTGTCAGCAATTTGCGGGAAGATTACCTCAGATGCGGAGACAGAGACATGTCCATCAGTACATATGAGAGGCCGCGGGGCGCTCACAATATGGAAGAACACAGCGGGGGCAAACAAGTCTTGGAGAAGATGTCCAAAAGTTGTCATCTGGCGGCAGTCGAAGCATCATAGTCGCTCGTCGAGGCTAGCAGAGTATACGACAGACCTGTTCGAGTCACGTCTCTGGATTCCGCACATCTTCGAACGACACCCGCCGTCGAAAACAACTCTCAAGCCGAAGAGACTCATACGCGTCAAACAAAAGAGGTTCACACCTAGCAAGCACAAGTGGACACCTCTCGGTGACATGCATGACTGCAATACGATGCTCACCAAACGGGGGAACGACGCCTCTTCGAAGAGGTCACCTGGGAAGTATCCTTCCAAGTCGGATGTGATGGAGCCGGGCACGGTATTCACGCGCTTGATATGGGACATTGAGCGCAAGACAAAACCCTGGCGACAGCTAGACCGCTTTGTACCTAGTGGCCAACTTTTCCGCAAAAGATGGCGCGTTCTGACGTTCTTACGCAATGACAGCCACGCTGACGTTTACTCCGTTCACGATATCATTTTCCGGGGCTCGAGGCGACATGAATCTATCGAAACGGAGGCTCATTTCTTTCTGGACGACCTTCGTGGCAACTGGCTAACAGCGGCGAAGAGAAAGCAAGGGCGCTTGCGTAGTGGCCAAGGATTTGAAGATGAGTTCTCGTACGGAATCAGACGTGTCATTGTGGTCAGAGTTTTAACGAAGGCTCAAACCTTCGACCTGAGGATGAGCGAAAAGGACTTTCCGTATTTGACGTGCAAAAGAACAGCGCCACGGGCGTCCTTAATGAGTGGCGGGGAATCTTATGCATCCATTGTACGTAAAAGTGCCACAGGCGCATCAACAGAGCTGCAGCAACGAGTTCAGCCCCACCAGTCGATTCGCGACGCGAAGCGATCGGTGAATGCACGGGCGAAGAGGAGCGAGAAGCAGAGAATGCAGCGCCTAGCCCAAAGGCATGCTCAGCGCAGTGGGTGATCGCCCGCGTGCAAATGGATCAGGTTAAATGACATTTGATTGCTATAAGTTTGCGTACTTCTCTATGCTATGAGTTTCCGTGCTTCTCTATAAGAAGAATGATCATGAAATTGCGCACGGCGAGATGGTCTGCCATCTTGGCCGAGGCTGAGGTCGTCAAACGCACCCATACCCCATGTCAGCAGCCGCTGAACACGCCCACTAGGATGGAAAGCGGCAACTACTCCGCTCTCCTCACCGTTGTCAACTCGTTTCCTTGCATGGGAGCAGACCCCACGAAGTACACTCCGGTAATGACAGCCAATAAATGGCCACTCGCGTCCTGGGGACAAACGAGCGTCGATGGTTCCAGACAGGGCTGTCTGACATGGTCCTTCATCTCAAGTATGTTTGCGTACCTCTACTTCGTAGAGCGAAGTAGAGGATTTCTATCTCATGATCATGCTGACATGGTCGTCTGTCCAAGTGGCCGAGATATTCTGAATGGTGACGGTGCACTCTCGAAGGCGGCCGTCCACCAATACATGAAAACACTCCAACTCGTAATCTTCATTGCTGCTTTAGGGGATTGTTGATGCCGATACTGGCTCTTTGATTTTATGGTGACTAGTCTTCTCGCGGGTGTTGACTTTGTTGATGTGTCGCAGAAGATCGTCCTTTCGCTTATAGCGTTTGTTGCATGCACAAACGAATGGTCGACCTTTGTCTCCGCACGAATGATCTTGGTGGCGCTTCAAGTCTTTCTCGGACTTGAATGCCTTTGAGCATGCCGCGCATGTAAAGGTCTTCACCAGTGAGACATGTCTACGTCGAGCCACTGGGTTCTTGTCGATTCGCATTTTCCCGACTGGATTATCGTCCGAGGTGTGGCCATTACTTCGCGAACTTGATGATAGCCTGGAGGACCGTAATTCTGGTGTCGAAGAATGTTCGCTTGATGTGGACTTAAGGTACACAGCCGTCTCGTCGACCGGCTGGAAAGTATCGAGGCTATAGGACGGACCCGGGGCTTGTATATCGGGGATGGGGTAATTAAAGCAGAATGAAGATTCGGGGTTGAGAGCTGAGGCCTCGTCGGCAGTCTCTCTGATGGTTGACAAAAAGGAACATTGGGATTCGGAATTGGGAATGGTTAACAAACTATAATCGAAGCACTCATCGACGCTTTGATACCCCGGATGGGATGTGTCAAATGACACATTCGTATGCCCCAAGAGGGCATCCATATAGGTCCCAAACGGATAGTTAGGGTCCAGGGTATTAGAGGGTTGCTCAACAGCAACACCTTCATAGCGGATGTCTTCGATCGTGTGGTTCGTCTGCCGTGCAAAACCTTGTGAAAACCCGTTGTAGTTGTCGTCAACCGTCTGAGAGATCGCTGGCGAGGCGAATTCGTGTATTGGGTCATTAGAATGAAGTTGTCTCGTGCATGCCTCTTGGCACAGACATTGACCGAAATGTTTTATGCAATGATCACTGTAGACGATCAGTTTCACCAGCGAGACATTGACGATCAGCAGTGTACTTACTGATAGTCGCAATTGATTGCGTAGACGGCCTATAACTAGGCCGTTCCTGGTGAGCTACGATTGTGGGGTGATATAAGGCGAATCCTTATCGCATGCACAGCGCTTCAGCTGGACGTTGCGAAGCTTTGGGGCTGTCGGTAAGACAATAGACACCGACTCAGGCGTTGATGAGGTTTCCGGCGACCGTAGAGAGTGAGGAGGTGCTAAGGGCGACAGTGTGATGATGTATAGCCAGTGTGTGAGCGGTGGAAATCAGATGGTTCGGGATGCACGGCGACCGTGTAAGGACACAGACGCCGGTCGCGGTCCGCGTGTGGCGGCAAAGCCGCCTCGTGAGATGGAAGGTCAGTTATATGGCGGAGATATGCCCTTGGGCACGATGCCCGGGCAGGTGTAGATTGAGGAGAAGAATAAAGGAGAAAGCAAAGAAGAGGCAGCGCACACAAGATATGGCAGCGGAAGTGTTGCGGACGTCATCCAACGCTGATTGGTAGCCGCAAACTATGGCGTTGAGCCTGAAACCTTGGAACCGGTAAAGTCAAAGTCAACACTAGCTTGATTCTGACTAGTCCAAGGTCCTCCATATGCACAACCCGATCTGTTGCAGCCCCCAATTCTCGTAACACGGAATAAGCAGGAAGCTTCCATCAGAATTCGAAAGATTTAGACGCCGGATAATCACAGCAATCCGACAGATCGCAGTCATGCAACTCTTTCACCAAAGAAATTGGGTAGTATTGACTGATCCTCCACAGATGGAATATGCAGCCATCAACGCCACCAAGGCTTCAACGCATGCAAAGTCGTCGCGCCGCAGCCTCAAAGTGAGCGACATCCCTGCCCGTTCCCGCGCAAAACTTCCCAGTCCCCTCCAACCCAAGTAGCGCAAAGTCCACCGTACTCTCCTCCACCAAATCCCACCACCCGCACCCACTCACTTATGCTCCTTGCACTTCTCCAAACTCTTACTCACAACGCTCTTGAGAACCCTGCGCGCCTCAGCCACCAACTCATGCAGCTCCTGGCGAAACTGGCGTCCCTCGGGCGTGTCATGTTCCTTCCTGTTCTTCTGGCGCTGGAAGGCAGCGCGAATCGTCTTGAGGATCTCGACGACTTCTTTGCGCAGCTTGTCGCAGGTGTTCTTGATGAGGGCTTTGACGTCCTTTTCGACTTCGTCGGCGATGGCGGAGAAGGGGCCGTTGAGACCGATGATCTTCTCTTCGAGGTACGCGTGGCGGACGTCGCGAAGCTTCTGACCTGTCACGGGGTTAACGGGTGTGCAGTGATGTAGTAGAATGTCGGGTTGTACCTTTACCGGGCCTCTGCTCGAGCGCTTTTTCGTAGATAGGCTCCATGGCTAAGGACAGGTAGCACTTGTCTCCCGGCTTGACGGCCTTCTGATAGATGGCGATGAGACCCGTGCGGAGGTCTTTCATGGAATTGTCAACCTTCAGAGTGATGTCCTTTTCGTAGCCGACGAGGTTGTTGCCGAAGCAGACCTGATATGCGTCACCAGCCAAAGCCTGAGGATCGTCTACAGTGTGCATTAGTAGGAGAAGGAACTTATGGATCAGCGAACTCACCTTTGAGTTGCTTGTTCAAATCGTTGATGCCGGCTTTGATAGTCTGGGCAGTCTGGGCTTTGAAGCTTGCGGGTGCTGCATCCAGTAGATCCCGGAATGCGTCGAGGACGGCTTGCTTTGTGGGTGCAAGTAGCGCGGCGTTCACATCGTGCTTGATGCCGAGCTTCTTCTGATGATAAGTGCCTGAATCTTGTTAGCGGTTGGCTTACCAGTCTTGGAAGCGGGCAGCACGAACCTCTCTTGTTCACCAAGGCCTTATGTGATGCTGCGTTCTACAATAGTCAGTAAAGAAAGCGAATAGATGACATGAACCATACTATTTTGAGTAGCTCATCGAGCTTCTTCTCAGCGACCTTGTCGAACCTGTCTTGCAACTCATGGTTTGAGAGCGCCGCTACAAGCTCCTTCACAAAAGTCTTGTTGCACTTTGTTGCAACAGCTCGCACGCGAGACTCAAGATTCTGTAGCTGTTAGTGTCATGCTTCGACTAGGGAATAGAAATGGTACTTTTATAGACTTATCGATGATTTTGGTTACGTGCTCAATGCGAGCCTCGGTGGTCTTACTGCAGCTCATCTGAACGATGCTCAACAGCATCGGGACTTTGAAGTGGATGAAATGCTCCAAGACTGCGGTCCTTCCTTGCGAAGGAATGCCTGCAATATAGGTACATGCGGCTGGGATCTGGGTCTCGTCGAGCTTCATCGTAGGCATCTTCTCCAGGTTTTTTGTGTTGTAACCGCGGCGATGTCGCATGTACATACGATTGGAGACGCAGAACGCTGCAGCGCCAGCATCGTCGCCGGTGTTTTGGCTGTACATACGATTCATACCAGCGGCGACGAATCGGTTACGGCATGCAATGCGTGCATCTTTGCGCCTGACGAAGTAAGCTTGCTGAAGTCGAATGTGGGGGTAAGACTTACTCTTTCTCTAGGATAGGTATGCGCGGCATCATGTCCTTTCCTTTCTTGCGGCTGGCCAAAGCCTTGTTTGCTGCCTTGAGGCTCTCAAGCTGGCGAAGCCCATCTTCAGTGGCAGTGTTCTGCTGAATCTTCTGCCTCAATCGCTTCATTTCAAGCTTGTTGGATTCTAGTTCGTTGTCTATGGCTTGCAGTTTGTTCTCGAGGTCGGCCAACTCATCTTCAATGGGCACCAGTTGTTCTTCTGCTATAATGTCTAGCTGGAGCGTACTTCCGCCGTCGTCATTCAGTTCCTACGGCGCATATGATTAGTCACAATAAGTTGCCTGCTTGCTGTGTAAACTTACATCGGCTCTCGTCGCGACAAGAATGACGCTACCATGGTGCCTTCGACTGTGCGCATCGAGGTAATGTTGCCGAAATGATTGATCACTTGTTGCACGCTTGATGTCAACGACGACAATGGTCATCTCACATTGCTGCAGATAGGCGGTTGCAGCAGTGACACGGTACATGTTGACGTCCTTTGTTCCTGGAACATCGGCCAAGCAAATGCCATCCTGTAGTAGGGGACTATCGACGTAATACCTGTGATTGCTGTCAGCGACGCAGCCTATATATGAAAGGGTATGTTCTCACCGTATGATCTCGACGAATGGCCACGGACTGAATGGGAGTACTTTGCCTTGGTAACGTGCGTTGGGAGCTCGCATCCGAAACGGACGAAGCTGTTCGCGCATATCATTATGCGTACTAGACTTGAAGGGCACGGAGAGCTCTCCATCCGGTACGAACTGGCCGTGGATATCCATAGTCCACTTCAACAGCTTCTTCAATGCTGGGTTGTCCTTAAGAGTCTTGCCTGATGACATAAAGTCCTCGAGAGATTCCGGAGCAACGCGGGAGGCGAAGAGATGTTCCAGGCACTCTAATGCGGCGTCTTTACGTGCGCGGTCCTCGTCGTCGACACTGTCTTCGTCCTGCATGAGCTTCTGCCTAGTGTTGAACCAAACCTTGAACCAGTTCGTGACTAGATCATCAGTGCAGTACTCGAGGCAGTAGAACTGGACTTCCGCTTGTACCGCGCCGATGTTGGTTGATAGGGTCTTTTGGCGAAATTCCGTAACGACATTCGTACACGCCGCGCCGCTGTCACCCTAAAGATGCGCGTTAGTGATAGGTCTTCGCTTCGTATCTGGGGTAACAATACTTCTGGTGTCAGATCTTCACCAAGAAGAGCGTTTGTTGTGGCGGACTTTCCGGTACCAGTGTCTCCAGTCACGGCGATGCGGATCTCGTCTTGGTAGAGAATGTCGCGGTCCTTTATGATCTGGTTCCAGAGATAGTTTGCCTCTTCTCTAGCAACACCGAGATTGTTGGCTGCCTTTAAGAAATCTATGAAGACACGCAAGAGATCTTGAACGTCTCCCTCGGCTTGTTTGAAGCCTGGGTGGTACATTGGTAGTCTGGGCCGGCGCTGCTGGGCTGGGTCGTATGGTGCTACGTCTTCAGAATCTTGATCGTCGTCGCTGTCTTCCTCATCACTGTCCGACAGCGAACCCGAAGCTACCATGAGTTAGCAAGATACACTTCTCAGATGGGGAAAGGACATACCCTTGCGCTTCGCAGGCAACATTGACTCTACGCCACCGGCGTTCCAGCCCATGATGGCAAGCTTAGCGCGGGTCTCGATGTCCAGGAGTCTCTGCATGTATGGTGAAATGCTGGGGACATCTGGAGTGGGGGACTTTGGATTGTTTGTAGATAGGGGTGCGACCATGATGGCGATGGGCACAGAAGACGTCGGGCACTCAGGCTCAAAGATGGGACTTGCCGATCTCTCAGGTGTGTGCTGTTGAATGCCCTCCATCGGAACGCTGTCCGCGGACATAGCTATCACTAGTCAGGGACTATGATGGGAGGTCTCGACGACGAGCAAGAGCCGAAGCTGACCTTGTGTCGAGCGAATGGGTGCAGTGATTGAGGTTACTTGAGAAGAAAGAAGCTTCAAGGGATAGAGGAAGAAGGATGGAGGGAGAAAGGGAAGCGAAAGACGATATAAAAGCCTTATATGGGCCACCCTCAGACGCCTACTGGTGAGAGAGCCGCCACAGATTCGAGGTCACCTCGTCTGCGAGGAGGTAAGAGCGCGATAAGCTCCTCGGACGCAAAGTCATCGTGGATGGCATGATCAAGGTGTGCCAACTCCAGCAAATGGTACCAGACTGTAGCTTCAATAGAACGTCTTGGTACATGGCACGGGTGGAAACGTTCGGCTCTGCTGCCTTGACGGACGGAACCGTAGCGGTACTACACCTGGATGGCCAGGTTCTATGCCGTGAGGCCATGGCATCCCTGGAGGTCTGCCTTTACTTGTCTCTATGGGCCGTCATGGCGACTGGAGGATCCGGAGTACTCGCCGTCACCACGGATACGGCAGGCAAGACTGGTAACAGCATCTCGTGTAGAGCCAGGAATGCGGCCCCGGTGAGTGCGATCCTCGGTCGAAGAGACGTCTGGTCGATACTGAAGTCGTGTGCTCAATCAATTGGAAGTGGCTGGAGATGTGGCTCATAGGAGACGTGGTGCAGGCGTCTTACTGGAGCCAGGTGCATCGCACGCTAGTTGCTGACCTCTATACGCCCCAGCCGAGGGAAGGCGCTCTGGACCCTGTCGAAAACTTAAACCTCGTACCTCAGCCGTGTAGCTCTCCCAAGCTTTCTCCCACCATCTCCAGCTTTTTGCGCGACCGTGGTTGTATGGCGATGCGTCGCCATGGCATTCCCACAAAATGCGATACGCGTCAGCGCCAAGCGGATGGTGCCGATTGCCGCCCCCTTAGCCTCTTCGGTCCTCCCGTCGGGCTAGACAGGGAAACTCGCAGCCATGGATGCTTGGAAGGCTTGCGACAGCGCCGAAGGACACTTTCATTGTCTCCGTGAGCAGTAATTCCTTTCCTGAGTTTCATGTACGAGACGCAGATGCATACTCCAACGGCATCACAGTAATCTTTCAGCGCTTCGCACGCGACTTTACATTCTTTTACAACCTTCAATACATGCCCACCATGGCAATCCGCCCGCTCAATTCGAGCCTCATCTTCGACAGGCGCGTTATACTCGCTCTCACGGCTGCCGTTGTCCTCGCCTTCACATTCGCCTTCCTCTACTCGCCCGACCTACGTCCCAGCTCGGAATGGCTACCACCTCTCAGCTCAAAACCTACCTCCACCTTCTCCGCGCCGCTCAAGAACACCGAAGACCCCTACATCGTCGAGCTGGACTACCTAGCCATCAAGCCAAATGTGTCGGACAAAGTCAGGTTCTATTGGAACATACCGTATGCCGCAGATGCAGGAGGCCAGAACAGGTTTCGCGGACCACAACCGGTGAACAGGACATATGGCGTTGGTCGAGGCGAGAAGCCTTTGGTGTGGGATGGATCATTGGGCATGTGCCCAAGAATCCAGAAGATTGATCCAACCCAGCGAAACAGGGAAGATATCTCAGGACCGGACGTTCTGGGTATCAAGACTCGTTCCACCGAGGATTGTCTGAGCTTGAACGTCTTCACGCCGATTGACGCGGAGGCAGGTGACGACCTACCAGTGCTGGTCAACATCCCCGGTGGTGGCTTCCATCTCCCAGGACGCAGCAATGGAGGCGAGATGGTAGAAAAGGCGCGACGTGAAAAGGGCGTGGACGGCAAACTCGACAAGGGCATTGTTGTAGTCACCATGTACTACCGCAACGGCATCTACGGCTTCCTCTCTGGCAAAGAGATCGCAAAGGACGGCGACTACAACAACGCGCTTCGTGACCAGAGAGCAGCGCTGGAGTGGGTCCAGAAGTATATCAGGTACTTCGGAGGCAACCCCGACCACGTTGTCATCATGGGCACGAGCGCTGGCGGCGCGTCCGTAATGCTGCAATTGACGGCCAACGAAGGCGACAACTACCACCCTGTCCCGGGCGTAGGTCGCAAGCAGCTCTTCCACGGCGCCATCGCCCAGTCCCCCGCGAGCCCGACATTCTTCACCCCCGACCAAGCCGAGAAGTTCTACAACGAGGTCGCAGACGGACTGAACTGCACAGACATCGCATGCGTGCGCAACGCAGCGACAGGCGACCTCTACTACGAGAACTACCCGATGAACTTCCCCGGCCGCGACACACCCCCACGCTGGATGTGGGCGCCCACCACCGAGCCCGCCGGCGGGATGTTCACCGCGCCCGCCCCGGCAGCCATAATGGCAGACCGCTACGCCAAGGTCCCCACCATCATCGGCTTCACCTCGAACGAAGGCTCCGACCAAGTCAAGAAAACAACCGACAACGAAGGCGAATTCAAGTCCTACCTCAAAGACCACTACCCGCTCCTCACCGACGAAGACCTCTCCACCCTCGTAACAACCTACCCCAACGACCGCCACTGGCCCGACAGCGGCGCGTGGTGGGACGCTGTTGCCAAAGCCCAAGGCGACATCCGCTACATCTGCCCTACCTACCTCGCCTCCAACGCCATGTCCCTTCACAACCCGCCCTCCGTACCTACCTACCAATACCAATGGGACGTAATGTGGGGCCCCGACATAGAGAACGGCTACGGCACCAAGCACGCCGGCACCGTTGGGCAAGTCATGGTGCGTCGCCAGAATGAGATTTCGGATTACTTTATCAGTTTCGTCAAGTTTCTTGATCCGAACCGCGAACACGAGGTTATTCCGAGGGAGAATGTTAAGATTGCTAAGTGGGAGCCGTTGGATAGTACGGGCAGGCGCATGTTCTTTACGAATATTAAGGAGGGCGGGCAGAGGGGCGATGGCCAGAATATGTATGGTAAGATGCGCACGGAGATGAGGGGCAGGGATGATGAGAGGGAGAGGAAGTGTGGGGTTATCAGGGGGATGTTTAGGAGGTTGCAGTTTGAGGGGGTGGAGGCGTTGAAGTTGGATTGAGCGATTGGGGTTGAGGGTTGGTGTGGTCGTCTTGCATTTGAAGGGGTTTGGGAGTTGCATTTGCGACATAGATTCTTCTTTTTCTTTTTCGTTTGATGTTGTATGAATACCATATTCTTTTGCACGTTCAACATTGAATTCAGAGATGCGATTTGTTTTAAATAGAATCTTCAATTGGTATAAAACGACGTGCTAAACCCCAGACTAACAGAAATAGATCCTCCCAGATACCCGTGGTTGGCCCACATACCCACATCGACATCCGTAGCTTCCGCTCTTCCGCGCATCCTTCGTAACATAAATACTGGTTCCTAGATCCCTTCGCGCTGATTGCAGCCCATGAACACACTCTCTTAAATCTTCCTAACATGCTCAATCAACTCCGCCACGTCGTTATGACTCAAACTCTCATCATCAAGACTCATACCCAGCTCCTCTTTCTTCTCATCAAGATTCTCCCTCTTCCCATCTAAATCACGCTGGGAGTCGCGCTCCAGAGGCGTCGCCTTGGTCTTCTCATCCCTCAGCACCCGCAAGTCGCCCGTCTCAACCGCAAACGGGGATGCAGGCGGCGGGCTAACCATATCAGCACTCGTTTTCCTTGCGTGCTCTACGACTTCTTGCAGATCGGCGTGTGAGAGACTGCCGTCATCAACACTCATGCCGATTTGCGCCTGTTTCTCTTCCTCCTCGCGCTTCAGACGGTCGATTGGGTTTTCAGAAACGGGTCCGGGGGAGTCTTGCTGTTTGGAGTCTTTTCTGCTGACCCAGCGGACGAGCTCGTCAACGTCGTCGTCGGTGATGTGGCGTTTTTCTTTGATGGGCTCGATGGACTCGCGGCTTCGGGGGCGGCCTCGCTGTTCTTCTTCGTAGTCGATTTCGTCAAAGGTTTCTTTGACTGGTGTGGAGGCCGCAGATTCTCCGCTTGTGCCGTCGTGGCGCTTGAACCAGCGGCCTAGTTCGGGGACGTCGGAGTCGTAGTGCTCGCCTACGTCGGAATCTAGTTCGGGTCGTTGGAGGTTGCGGCGTACGGGGCCTGCTTTGGGTCCGTCGCGGTGCGATATCCAGCGTACGAGGTCGTCTGCGTCTTCTTCCTCGTCTGAGGATACTTCTCTGAGTTCGCTGTCGGATTCGGTTGATGCGTCGCTGTATCCTGAATGTGCGTCGTTGAGCACGGCGGTCTCTTTGGCGTCAGATTTCCTGCTGGCAAACCGAACAAGATCTTCTACGTCTGATGGCCCTAGGCTCTCATGGCCGCTGTCTTCTTTGGCTTCCACCACGTCGCCACCCTTTCGTCGCTCACCGTCACTAGGGGGATCTCGTCGGCTAACCCATCGTACTAGTTCATCCACATCGGAATGATCGATGCTCTCGTTGTCACTTTCATAGCGAGTCGTCGATGCTTCTCGTTGATCCTTCTCGTTATCGGAGGAAGCTGTTGATGCGCGATCATTGAACTCGACTGGCGCACCATCCTCCCTAATCTTCTCCATGCTCCCTGCGTCCTTGGTCGTCATCCGTCTTACTGTCATCCGAATCCTACTTCCAATTCCACCTTTTCCTGAAGCGTCTTGATCGGGTGTTCCCGGGTGATGCATCTGGCGTTCGGCATGTTGAGACCGCCATTTGTCTGCCGCATTTTGCTCCTGCTGGCAATCTTCTTGCGTGGCAGTCTTCATCTGGTCTTGAATCCTCTGTTGGAAAAGCATGCTGCGTAGGGAATGGAATCGCGCCATGTGCGGCTGTTTTTGTCTGGATTTTGCGGACTTATCTCCGCTGCCATGCGCCGAAGACGGCTTGGTGTGGCCAGGGCTTTTGCTGGTCGTCTTCAGGGAACTCCTGCTGGGTGATAAAGATGAAGGGCGAGGCGCCTGGGCAGCGACGTGCTTTTGCTTGTCTTGGCGCAATTTCTGGGGGTCGAGTGCTGGCTTAGTGTGTTGTTGAGCGGCACGTTGATCTTCTTCTTCGGATGGGTCTTTTTCTTCGCTGCTATCACTGTCCGATTCGTCGTCGCCTAAACCTTCCAATATTTGTGTGACTGCTGGGGACATCAAACTGTTCATGCGACCGAGTTGCTTGCGCTGGTCCTGAGGCATCTGATCTATATTCGTAGCTGGCGGCGCCTTCTGCGGCTGGAGGTCGAAGTATGACGCCATGACTTCTAGAATGGTCCTTTCTCCCCAGTAAAGATGATGCGTATTTGAGGTCCGAGGATGCCAATGGGCCAGATATGGAGCGAGATAGAGAAGAGCTCAGGTGAGGGCAGTGCTCTTGGAAGGCTTGGAGGTTCTGCAAAGTGTCGGGCTCGCAGACAAGCTAGCCTGTTATCGCAAGTCTCTACCCCGCATTTTATGATGTCACGCCTCGTGAGTGGCCGGGCGCGCTGATTCAGCTGACTAGTGCATTGACGATCGGCGTGGCAGGCTTGGGCGACATCACCGCTTTGAGTTTAAGATCTAGGGCTCCATGCATGGCGCATCAGTTGCGACAGCCGTTGAGATCGGAGGCTTTCACTGGCGAATCTGGATCGCCATAGGTGGGATCTGACCACCGATGAGGCTGACATACTTGACATGAGACGGCACGGCAGGTCAGCTTCATGCATCTTCCCGCCTCAATGACCGGTGCTATCGCGCACGGCTCGATCCGCACGATCCATGAGCATGCGCTAATGAATAAGGTCAATCTTATCAACGTTTCAACATTGCTTCCCAGGGTCTCCCCTTTGTCAAAACTATAGTACCGGATCCTCATACCAGACATTTCCAGCCGATGATGCACTTCGACGATTCTACGCGACCCGCTTTGTACGTCTTCCGTACTGCTGGGATGCTTCGGCCATGTTGAAAGCTAGAAGATTCGGTGTGCTATCATGGAGAGTACTTTCATCGATCGCGCCCTTTGTTGCGACGCCAGCCATGCTTTCGCACAACCCTTCCACTGGCCATCCTTGACCCATGAAGTACGCGGCTAAACCAACGATATGAGGGGTTGCCATGCTCTGAACGTGAGGGCGGATAGTCAGCGCGCGTCACACCGACACTTATCTGGGAGTGTACTTACAGTTCCAGAAATTGTATCGATCGATTTGCCGATCCAAGTGCTGGTGATCTCAACGCCGGGCGCCAAAATGTCGACAATAGGTCCATAGTTAGACCATTCGATGAGCGTATCGTTAATGGCTGTAGCACCTACGGTGCAGACACTAGGTTCAGATGCCGGAGACGAGTATTTAGCGTCGCGTCCCTCATTGCCCGCTGCGACAGCAAGGAAGATTCCCGCTGCAACGATGGCGGCGGCCTAGATCGTTGTGAGCTGAATGTCTGATAAAAGACGGAATGGGCTACTCACAGCATCATTCAGAGCCTGCATCTTACGCCCTCCAAGACTCATGTTGGCCACGAAACCGTTGGGACATTCTCCAGCCTCACTACGTTTTGCTGCATCGGTAATAACATACTCCATACCCGCAAGTACGCCCTCGGTTGTACCAGAACCGTACGAGTCCAGTACACGGATAGCGAGCAGTGTTGTCTTCTTTGCCACGCCCCAAGTCATCGAGCCGATTGTACCAGCCACGTGAGTTCCGTGGCCCATGGCGTCGATCATGGTGTCCTCACCGCTGAAGTCGGCTAAGAAGAGAGCACCTTTCAATTCGTTAGCGCGTACATGTTAAGCCAAACGATTCATACATACGCCCCCCGAACTCCGGATGTTCAATCTCGATGCCTGTGTCAATGACGTATCTGCGGTCGCTTTGTGAGCGAAGTTCACACAGACGCGAATACGGTTGGTAACATACGCGCATGTACCCTCCCCGGCGCTGGAATCGAAAAGATAACTCGTTTGATACGGCTCGGCATGAGAGATACGAGCTAAACCCCACGTGGAGTTCAACTGTTGCACGATCTCATTGCTATGGACCTTGGCGTTTTGTTCGATGTACTCAACCTGAGTACGTTAGTTCAGGTATGTTAATTCGGGCGTATAGCTTACATGCTCAGAAGCCTGAAGTCGAATAAGTTCTTCCTCAGAGATACTGCCGGCAAATCCTCGGAATCCAGGCATTGCGTATTCGTAGTCGGGTTTGGTGGACATGGATGCCATCAGGTCGTCGTGAGCTTGCGTTGCTACGTCGCCCTTCATCTTGACGATCCATCTGCCAGCGATGCCATCTTCGCCGTCGACTCTGGTCAACGGGGCAGCAGCGACCAACGAGATCAGAGCGAAGAGGACTGGAGTATACATCTTCCTGAGCCGTTCGAATCGAATATGCTGGAAGGGATGGATAAGAGATTCGGTTTCAAAGAAAAGGTGAGGGGTCAAATCCTTCACGTTGAATTGTACCTGCATCAGCGGCAGAACCGAAACTTAAATACAAATGCCGTACAACTCGTACCAGCATCAACGACGGCCGGCTCATTCGAGAGCCAATGGCGCAATCTGAAGGACCAGTTAGCAACAGCGCTCGCGCGTACGCATAGGCAGTGCGACCTCTCACGGACCACGTTAGGGCATGCTGTCTGGCGAGCGCATGCTACTTTGCAACACCAACAAGAGCACAAAAGATACCGCTATCTGACAGCGCGCATGCTGCTGGTCCATGGGTCGACGGCATGGGTGCACGCTTCACGGTTCTCCGATGTTACTCGTCTGGCGTTATTTCGACGGGTCGGATGCTCAGTCGTGTAGAGCTCTGGTCGCGTAGATCACACAATAAGTCTAGCAGAGCTGTGGTGTTTCCCGCGGATGATACATAGTCACCTTGCGAGGTATATGGCGTCCAGATAACCAGAGGGTAGGGTCCAGTCCAGATCCAGCACTAACGGACCGTGACCACGGGAAGGAAGTTGTCTGAGACCCAATGGACTTGGACAAAGGAACGATCAAAGGTCGTGTTACCTCTAGAGAAGCGCTGTGCTATGTGGTCTGTTATGATGCGGGTTCCTACATGATGTTGTCGTTGTACCCGGTGGGCGCTAACTTTCGGCGTCTTGTCGTGGGACATCGACGACTGGTATAGAATAAGCACTCTTATCAAGAGCACCATAGATACACTTTGGGTTGCCGATGCACTGGGAAATGTCGATGGGTCTGCCAACGAGTTGTGGGGTGTAAGGACACATTGAGTGCGTGCGCATACAGCGATTGTCAAAGAGAGTATTGGTACGACTGACAGAGCGTGTCTGAGCCAACACTTCATCGGTTTTGTTGACAGTCATCCCTTGGCGGGATCGCGGGTTTGCGCATGATGTCTGGCGAGATTCTGCAGGCTCTAGTCAAAAGTACTGGACGGTGCGCGACTGTGTTGGCTAAACCATACCGTCGGGAACGTGGTCGCGCAAGGTATGTCGCCGTGCAATGCACAGCTCATTAAGATAGTCGAAGGTCGTGCTTCCTGTTGTGGCGATTCGTTTCATTCATCAATGAACATCTTTTGAGTTGATTAAGAGTCAAGCTCCAATTCCCTACCAGCTACAGCTATCAATACACCAAGGCTGGTGACTTTGGATACGCCAGCGCAAGGTCGACTATTGTGAAAGCCATACAGCCTATCGTATGTTTGCCACCTTCGGGTACCTCACAAAGTAGCCAGCCATTTCTCCAACGCCTCATTAACCTCTTTCGGTTTCTCCAACTGCACCCAATGCGACGACTCAATAGTCTCATAGGTCAAGTTCTTCACATCCCGCTTCATCCTCTCCGCCAACTTCGGCTGCACACTAGGCGAGCACACGGCATCGTACTTTGCATCAATGTACAGGAAGGGGAACTCCAACACCCCGCCATTCTTCTCGCTCTTTGCATACTCGACATTCGCCTCGTGATTGAAGTAGTATGCGTTCGCACCAAAGAACCCATGCTTCTTCTTGCTCTTCAGCAGGCTTTCGTAAAGATGCTCATCCAACGATGTGTACGAAAGTGGGATATCAGGAAGGTTTTCTGGATGACCACCGAACCAACCTCCGTCTCTCAAGACACGGCTTGTGGGCGAGGGCTGGCCCCACTTACTGCCGTCGCCTTTCATATACAGGATCTTGGTGATGACATCCAGGTGGCCGTCGAACGCTTTGACGCTTTGCTCGGGTTTCACCTCGTAGTACCGCATGTACTCCCAGTTTCCCCACTCGGTCTCGCTTTCGGGGTAGAGGTCGCGGTTGATGGTGCTCTTGAGGTATTCGAGGCCCAGCTCCACGCTTCGGTAGGGGACGCAGAGGTTGGCCATGGCAATAAAGAGTTCAGGATAGTGTGCGGCAAGTGCGTTGGTGACGCCGCAGCCCCAGTCGTGACCGATCCATACTGCTTTTTCGATGCCTAGCTTTGAGGCGAACTCAACGAGCTCGGGAACGAGGACTTCAAGGCGGTAAGACTCTTTCTTCTGGGGTGCCGTTGAGTCGCCGTAGCCGCGCATGTCAGGTGCAATGACACGGTATTTCGATGAGGCAGCGAAATGTGTGAGTTGGTGTTTCCATGATTCTGCGATGTCGGGCCAGCCGTGGATGAAGATTAGGGGAGTGCCGTCTGCAGAGCCTCCTTCGTAGTAGTGCGTGACCTCACCATTTTGGTGGGTGATGTCGCCTGCAGTGAATGAGTCCATGGCGTGTACTGGTGCAATAATCCTAAGATGTTTGGTAGAAGATGACGTGGGCTGGAGATTTTGTATACTGGTACACGTCAATCAAGAAAAAAACTGAACGGGTCTGCAGCCTACATCAATATTAAAACCTACAAGATAGGTGACCTGGCGTTGATGTAGGTTCTAGGCCTGTTTAGCTTTTTTGCGGTATGAGGTGGGTAGAGAAATGGACCGATGAAGGTTCGTACGATACTGACTCTTGGGGACCTCGGTAGACCCACCACGAAGTGGGTATGACGACAAATACGGATTCAGACTAGACCATAAGTTGCGGAGTGGTCAGAAATGTTGAACGCACATGTGATAGTGTTGTGTAACACCAGAAACGCGAAGTAAGCTGACTGTGGAAGCACCCTTGCATTGGACTGCATAGGATCTTTCGCGGCGCTCAACTCGGTTGACACACAGCGTCAACTCAGAGTGCCAGTAGTTGGTCGATGATTCGAAGGCCTTGAGGCCCAGCTTGAGGATAGGATAAGGGTATTAATTGACTAGCATCGCGCGAGAACTATATGTCGATTTCCACGTCCACCAAAGAGCTTCGGACTTCGCTCCATCATCCAAATGCATTCCGGGGATACTGATCGAATGTGATTGGTCTACATAGTATTTTCCTGTGCCCATGGCACGAGCTCGATGAGGTGTATCTCGCCATGTTCAGCATCGAGAGACTCGTACCCCAGTCGGCCGAGACTTGGGACCGAACATTTATATGAAGGAGGAGTCCAACGGAGGACGATCGAACGTGTGAAAGTGGTAGCGTTCATCGAATGTCGATGACAGTGTCTCATACGCTTGCTCTATGGTACGGTGCTAGCATCGGTCGTCGTGCGAGAGCTACCGGCATGGTCCGCTGTTGACAGCGCGCGCGTGCCTACTAGCAACGCTTGCAGTCTTTGTTCGACTGAATGCCCCAAGGTGCAGTGGGTACCGTATGTTGGTACATACTTTGTTGGCCTGTTGGGCGATGTCGACCGCGCAGTCTGCTCTCGTGTGTGCGAGTGCGCAGGCGTTATCGAAACGCTGAAGCGTGTGGGCGCGACGCGAGCTTCTTACGGCCGTAAGCCCACAACGCGAAGAAACGCGTCAGACGTGGCCAAAAGCGTTAATGTTGTTCTGCGATCGTCTGATCCTGCGTATAAGTCGACAGCTTAAATGGTTTTCGCGTCGCATCGCTGCGTCAGATGCTTCGCGCAGATTGGAGAGGCGGAGCGGCAGTTGGATGATGGAGTTGGTGGCGCACCTCATCGCTCGAACCCTAGAAGCGTTCCGAGCTTCGCCTTGGTCCGTGCGCAGAGGCGGCTGGCGGAAGGAAGATGGCAGCTGCAGCCTTAACCGCAATATCTCCAAATTGGAATTGCGGGGCGAGATTGAATCTTCCGATGAACCATGCTGATCAACGTTGTGCCAATATAGCCTTGACAGTGCGGGGAAGGCTTCAGCCTCTGGTACCGCATGCAGCTAGCTGTGTATAATGCGTGGTACTTGTTCAAGCTATTGTTAGTCGTCCGAGGTTGCAGATGTTAGACAAAGATGCGGTGGGTTTAGATCTGGAAGCTTATGTTTGGGGTTAATGATCGTTCGGTAGGTTAATACGGTGTCTCAAGGATCGTTACACCGAGAGATACCTTCCATATACACATACACAGAAGCTAGATCCTCGGTCGTACGAGTAAAATACTTCCTTTGTTTGCGTAGACACCTGTGCTGGTAGACCCTGCATGAACGCGGTTAACTAGGGAGAACGACGCAGGGCATATGGACGCAGCACCGTTATGCTAACGCGCAAGGTGACGCCTCTCAAAGCCACCTACGACGCCGCGGAGTCAACAGTCTTCTGCCGAAACAATGAATGACCCATTGTGACACATGGGCGTCTAATATAACTATGATGACGAGGCTTAGCGCAAGCCACCCCCACAAGAACATTAGTGACGGTAGCACAAAGCCCGTTTTGGTGATGGCGATCTCCGCATTCAAAGACGGTAGTAACTAAATGGTCATCCGTATTCCCATCGTTGACCAGCCATCGAGATTATGGGGCAACATATCAGCAATCGGTGCGAAGACACAGCACTGGGGGCGTTTTGGATGAGTAACTTCATAGATTGTATCTCCATTGGTGCTATCGACTACCAAGAGACAACTACCGCGATCATGACTTCATAAGAAAAGAAGGAAGGGAATCTTCAACTTCTATCAATGCGAAACTAAAAAAGACTCGATGCAACATGCTGATAAAGCGCCGCCAAGAAGGAGAAATGCTTAACCGCTGGGGTTGCCGTTGAAGGCAAGGTTGTTGACGGTGCTGGAAGGAACACCGGAGATCTTGTTCTTCAACGACAGTGCGGTGAGGCGGCTGGAGAGTGCGGCAGGGGTCTTCTTGCCCTCGAAGCCGAGAATGTAGGCGGCGAGACCAGCAACGTGAGGAGTAGCCATGGAAGTACCGGAGATGGAGTTAGTGCCACCGTTGTTCCAGGTGGAGAGAATGGAGACACCAGGGGCAAGGATGTCAACGACGGAACCGTAGTTGGAGAAAGAAGCGAGGCGGTCAGAGCTGTCGGTGGCACCGACGGTGTAGACAGTAGGCTCGGATGCAGGCGAAGAGTTGCGAGCATCGGCACCATCGTTACCGGCAGCGACGGCCATGAAGACACCAGCGCTGACTGCGTTGGCCGCGGCAGCGTTGACGGCAGTGGAGCGAGATCCACCCAGA